CTATGTTATTAATAGTAATTGTTGATGCATGTAGTATTGTGTCGACGTTATTAATAGTACTTGTTGATGCATGTAGTATTGTGGCTAAAAGTACTAATATCAGCGGCGCACTCATTAATTGATGCATGTAGTATTGTGGCTAGAAGTACTAATATCAGCGGCGCACTCATTAATACATGAAGCTTAACCAATATTTGTCCTTGAAAAAGTACCAAAGTTTAAGTACGATCGACTTTGCCCGATTGGATCGGCACTATCGATATATCAATACAAGCGACCACAGCGCTTGTTAATGATAAGGAGGCGAACCGCTTAGTTTTATAGCTGACGTCAAAACGAGGAACACAATCATTTACTTCATTAGTGAAGCTCATCGGTGCCCCATAATGGACAAAAAAGTTTTACTAGATCCTCATAAAATGTATAAATTGCTTTCAAACTCAGTTCTGCCTAGCTAATTCCCACGTCTCAAGGTTCTTTACTGTTCTGCGTACAATGGTAGGAGATGCTGAAAGGTAAATACATGAGCTTGACACTTCCCATGAAATATACTACTACAGGTCATAATTGAAATCGGTTCCTACGCGAAGACAGAGCAGATGCTGTGGCTGCGAAGCAGGTGCAGTAGATGCGTTAGCTCGGCGGCATGCATTTTTATTTTGATAATTTAAAGACCTGTAGGGCCTCTTCAGCCATATCGTGAGTGTTTTATTGTTTTCTTGACATAGTTGCACCGCTAGAATTGCTTTTCAGGAAGCAGAATTTTTTTATATCAACAGTTGATAGGGTCCACGCCAAGCATAAAACTGCTGACCAAATATCAATGAGCTACTGCCATTCTTCCGACCTCTAGTTGAAGAGACACAGTATCTATAGTCGAGAGTTCTAAAGATATTTTCAACTGACTTGCTGACCGCTATTGGCGATGAGGATATCTGTAAAAAAAAAAAAATATATTGCACAAACTCCCACAAAATCCAAAATTAAAACGTTTAGTCTTTATCATATAGCTGAACTGCGTCACGCAACAGCTCACTACAGATTAAATTCCAAGTCGTCAGATAATTGAGACGAAGCAATTATTCCTCGTCTTATCTCTTCCTGGATACACGTAGCTTAGCCGCTGTCTTCGAATAAATAGTGCTCATGAGGCTGGACAGATGTGAGGGCCTTTCCATCAAAAACTGCTCGTAGTCATCCTCCGAGTAAAAGAGATCGGCTGGGTCGTAGGCCTGTTCCGGCAGTACGCGCACCTGAGGTTCTTCCTGGAAGGACACGCTCTTCTTGCGAGTCTCTGGCACTGGCTCAGTAGTCTCTGCAGGTAAAACGACGTGCCTGCTATTCCTGTTTGTGGTGTTGCCCTTCTTCTGTTCTACCTTTTCATTCCCGATACTCTGATAATAAAGCGCAGTGACCCAGCGCACGATTTCTTTGCGTTGGTGGATGCGAAGAGCGACTATGCGCCCGGAATCCTTTGCACGTACGTAGAGGCACTCGTGATCGAAGCCAAAGACGCTTTCGTTAGGCGCGGCTGGCTGCATCTGTAGCGCGAGCGAATCCAGCGGGGGCGTTTTGCGCTTGTAGTCGGTGCGGCGCCAGTAGAGCAGCAGCGTGTCGCCGCGCAGAACGCCGTAGAGCCAACGAGAGAACACCTTGCTCTTAGCACTCGCGCGGCCCTCGGGAGTGGCCACAGAGCACGGCGACGACGCTGACAGCGAGCGCTTGCGCTGTTTCTCGCCGTCTTCCTCCACGCGCACGAAGCCCGCCATTTGGGACGGAGATGAGGAGGGGGAAGTGGTGGAGTCTGGCGGCGTTTTCTGCTTGAGCACCATGTCGCTGTGGGCCTGTGCCGGTCGGTAGGGTGTGCGGGATTCTCGGCAGGTTGTGGAGTGATTGATCGAGGCGTATGGCTGAATGCTTGTTTTATCCACACGCAGTCCAGTCCAAAATAAGAAATTATCGTAATTTAGTACAAAAGTAGTGAATTGTGCACCAGCGTGATTAAAATTCTCATATTGCAGTGGAAAAAATGAAAAGTACAGCAAGCGTTTACCATGCGTGTGTACTAACCTAGTCCACCTGCAGCTTACTTACTGGATTACGGTATTTTCTCTTCAGGTGTCTTCAAAGCGTGTGATCACGCTTTTTGAGCCCACGAGAACGCCGTGCACACGGACAGATGGAGAATGAAAGAATGAAATGGCGGCTAGAGAAGAAAGAGATTGCGAGCGGCTGCGCTTGAGGAGCGCGATCCGACCCCTTCATGGCGCTGTTGACTATTACATGTAGCCATTCGTCCACCTGGCTGGGCAGCCCTCGTCCCGTGGTTGCAAACAGACTCACGCCAGGTTTCGTCGCAGACGGATAAGCCTGCTTGTACGCACACGCAATGAGCAAGATTCACGGACTCTGCAGTGCCTGGCCAATCGTTGTTGTGTCAGAGCTCGCAAAAGAACATGAAATGGAAATTCACCCACGCCGCCCCATCTGAGACCGTCCAGCACACGTGGGTTAACTGTTCGAGTGCAGCAAAGCACTGGTCACGAAGGCCGCGGCAACGCTCTTCGGCCGCGCGACGGCTTGAGCACGAACATCAAGATGTCAATAGCTGCTGATGACTTTGCCGTACTGTGATAGGCGCCGTATCATAATCTTGTTGAGATGGATTTTTTCGGCTTGTAAACCAATTATCCGACGTCAGGCATCTGCTTCAACTGCTTACGCTGTGCCTGTCAAACGCGCACTGGCAGTACAGTGTATCAAACTGCTGTCGACTGCAGTAGTCCTGTACCATTACACCGAACTCTCACTTGTATTCAATGCTCAGTAAAGGCTCGATAGTAGACATGTAATGGCCGTACATGGTAATGAAGAGCGCCGTCATAATAAAAATGAATTTTGCCAACACTTTTGTGTTTTTCTGTACAGTAAATTGATACAATTATTGCAGTACAAAACGATAACGACAATTTTGTCGTCCAAAAAAAATAAATTAGATTTCCCCTTGAAAATTTTCCATTTTTTCGTACTGGCTTCCAGCAGATATTTTGTTACTCAACGACAACGAACTAGTAGTACTTTCATGATGAAAATGTCGCTTGCCGTTGGATGGCATTCAGACGATAAAACCCATTAATTTTTTATTTGGGTTTTTTCGTCTGAATGCCATCCAACGGTACGGTTTATTTGGGTTATTCGGAACCAACTCAAAAAAGTCAAATTTAAGGTCGTAATAATATAGGCTTGGTTGGCATTCAACTTAGTGCTTAAAACTTGTCGTTACGCATGCTGATTGGCCAGGATGGCATTCAGACGAAAATAACCCATTAAATTTTTAATGGGTTTTTTTCGTCTGAATGCCATCCCGGCCAATCAGAATGCTTTCAGCCTAAATTAGAGTCTTTTTTTTTTTACCATATTAAGCATTTATTCATAATGTTGCTGATCAGCAACTTAATCTCAACAATTGTGACCGAAAGCTCCCCCCACTTTCATGTACACGACTGGCACGATGGAGCAGCGCAAGTGGCATATGCAACTCAATGAGGGACGCGAGAGCGACTTGCCGCACAGACTCGAGCCCATCGGCTACGTTAAGGGTGTCTCGGCCGACAAGGTGCGCCTGTTGTCGCACCTCCATTGCCCTCCCTCGATCTCTAACACGCTTTCGACAGGACTCGACTGGAGCAGTCGCCATGGCTGCAACGAACACGTCAGAGCTCAAGAAGAAGGTGCGGACAATGGCAAAAAGAGTGATGGTCATTTCCAATTCTTTACTTACCGGAGTGATTATCTTTGTCATGACAGCGCGCGATGGAGATCGGTATGGCTCCATTCAAGAGCCTCCTCCAGACGGCCTTCATGATGTGGATGAGTGGCAACTCCATCAACATCTTCAGCATCATGATCACCGGCATGATCGTCATGAACACTGCCAAGTCGCTCTTCAACATGAGCAATGGTACTGCTTTTCAGTTACCAAATATTTATTGCAACTTTCCTCTGACAATAATGTGATTGTTGCCAGCTTTCGCGTCCGTGAACGACGGTGTGATCGACTTGACGCAGCCCAAGGCTGTCTACATGGCCGGAAGTTTGGTTGGTGCAGCTATGGGCGTGTACAAATGTTCCAACATGGGATTGCTGCCCACTACGAGCGCCGACTGGACGTGGCTGCTGCCAATCAAGCAAGCAGTGGAGACCTCTTCGTTCGCCCACAGCCTCGGACAGTAGCAGCAAAGGTAATCTATGGGGCTAACTTGAAGCACAGTCAATGAACACGCGATGTAAGTTAGCATAACTCATTAGCTATTCAATTAGTACACGTAACTGCAGTAGAATGAGGAAAACTACCCGCCGACAGACGACAAAACTCAGCGTGGTCACATATCCCTCTCAAAAAAATCACTACAAAGCTAGCTGCGGTTAATACTCCCACTACGACCTCCACACAGCCAGCTTTCACTGCTGCTCATGTGCTTCTGCAAAATTGATATCCTCTCCAACCGAAGAGGTCTACGACACATTGCGCCCACTTGTCTGCGGTGGACACCGATATTCCTCGGGGAGCAGCGACCGCTGCAACGCGTTGAACGCGAACACTCGTCGCCCCGTGTTCTTCAGTGCGTTCTCAATGCGTACACCTTCGGATCGCATGACGGACACGATGCCGGCCTTCTTCTGCTCACGGAGACCGTGATGTTGTACGAGAATGCGACCTTGTTCCAGCGTCACTGACATTCCCGTACGATCCTTAGCAGACTTACACACCGTCACCCGTCCACCAGATATACTGCGACACAAGTCGGAACTGAGCTGTAGGATCTCGGGGCGCTTCTTCCGTGCCTGTCTTCCAGCCGTGCCGATGAGTTTATCCAGTTCGCCGAGGATGCGATATACCTCCTCACGTGACGGTCCTGACGGGGTGACAACTGCACTCGGTGCCGATGGCGGTCGTGAACGATTGGAGTCTGTGGAATCATCTCGCTGTCTCTCCTGCTTCTGCATCGCCTTCATTTGCCTCATGGACGTGTAGTTGCAATAGCGATCGCAGTAACTTCGCAGCGTCTTGAGACTACTGGCGTTGATCACGTCCTGTAGTCTGGTTACGGACGATCCCGTGTTATTTGCCAGTGTTTGTTTCTCGTTAATACCCTGAGTGAACAGCACGGGGCACACCTTGATGGGTCCGCCATGACGAAGCGCTTTCGTCAACTTCACCTTTCCGGAACGCAACTTCACACGGATAACCAGGTGAGTGAACGGGAAGAGTTTGTCCACTGACGCTGGTGCCAACGACTGTGCGTTCTCCCAGTTGTTACCCGGTCCGCCCAATAATCGATGGTTACGTGCCTTGATGAACGTACTCAACAGCCGCTGGCCAACGCCACTCAATGAAGATGACTGTGACATCAGAGTCTCTCTGGATAACGGCGTTCCATCCGTGCTCTCCGAGTCTCCTGCGTTCGCTGAACTTGTCTCCGAGAGCGCATCATCAATACTGGTAAACACATCCACGTCGATCACACCGCCGATACCTGTGGAGTTCGTCGAGTTCGTCGAGTTCGAAGATGTAGCAGACTCCAGAGATTCCAGGTGCATCGACTGCCGCTGCTTCACTTGCATCTCCCGACGTTTCTCGTCTCCACCACTGCTTGCAGCTTCACGATTACTGCCGCTGGCCTCGGAGGGATCCGATGACGATGGACTGTGCTTCGATTCCTCCTCGAGACGGTACGACACGGATCGAGGAGACTTGTTGCCACTGGATTCCTCGTCCACACCGCCGATTTCTTCTTGCTCGTCCACCAGTACGAAGCGTACGTTGCGTAACTCGTTGACAGCTCCAGCCATATCCTCCAGCATACCAGCCTCGTTACCATGTGTAGATACCAAACTCTCAACGTCAAACAGGAAGCCCAACTTGCTGAGCTGCTCCAGCATCGCCTGGCCCTGTTCGGGGCTAGCGTGCTGCAATGCCAAGTCAACTTTACGCGTGAATGCCGTCACCAGCGCTGCCACAGCTTGCGGGAAGCACACATCCATACGCTTCCCAAGCACACACTCGACGTCATCGGCCTTCTGTTCGTCTTCTGTCCATAGCGGCACTTGGTGATGTGCAGCAGTCGATCCGTGCGGCTCTCGCACACGCGGCTTGAGCTTCGCGTGCTGCTCCTCCAGACCGAAGATGCCGCCGTTCTTGAACTTGTAGACGTGAGCAGCCATGGCACCCACAGTCACGATGTCATATACAGCAGCACTGGCGTTGATATCCGAGGTGCCACTGCTCCCCATGCTCGTTTGCGCCACGGCGTCAGCGTTGCCGACCCACATCTCTTGCAGGTGCAAATTGATCGGCAGGAATCGTAGCTGGGCGTTTTTCTTGTCCGTACTGGCCTTGAAGTACATTTTACGCTGGTCACGAAGCACATACACGCGTCGCAGTTGACGCAGTAATTCCACGTACTCTTTACGTTCCTGACAACGCTGCAGCATCCACTCTCGACAACGGTTCAAGTCCCCGTCGTCCTGGATTTGTTGAATCAAATTCTCGTAGATGCCGCGGTCGGATCCTTTTTGTCTCTGACGGTCATAGGCTTCCAGTCGCGCGAGGTCGTTCTCGGCGATAAGAAGCTCCTTGGTGCGGTATCGGATGATAATCTCCAGAATCTGACGCGGGATCCAATTGCTGAAGCGGCTTTCCGTCAGGTCTTCTACAACCAACAATCCTTGTTCACGGATGTGATACTGCTTGCTAATCGCTGGAGCCGCAGCGTGGAGACCACCCTCGACTCCGTTGAAGCCGTACTTGGCACCCGCAGCCTTGGGGATCACCGTGTTCACCAGCAATTTAGGTGGCGCAGCGTTGGGGCCGAAATGCTTGTACGAGTCCTCGGTGGCCGTAAGCACAGTCTGCTCCGTCCGTGCACCTGCTGTCACTAATGTGACGCTAGACACGGTGAATTCAGCAACCACGCTGAGACTGTGAGGAACCGCGGATGATCCCGAGTTGGATTCGGATCTGCTAACTCCTGATCCCGGGCCGTCTTCAGTGGATCCAGGGGATTCCATCTCGAAGAGTTCGTCGATAACCTGCGAACTCTGGAATCCTCTATATGCCTCCATTTCTACCAAGGAAGAGTCCAGCGTGTGCTGACTGTCGTCTCCATCGTCATCATCATAGTCGCGACTGCTTTGCGTACGTTCCATAGCCGCTAGAACCTCAGCTGCAGTCATCTCAGAGTGGTCCTCGTGGTTGATAGATGCAGGAGCAGAGTTGAGTGCGTACACGACCATACGAATCTTCTCAGCCGACCTACCGACCGGAATACGAGGCACGGACAAGAACGTGTAGAGGTATCGCTGCTGGTGAGGCAGCATAACTGGCGCCACGTCCTTCACGCTCGCCATGACTGTGTCCGTGTTGCTGATCTGTCGCCACGCTGTGGACGTGCTATCTCTTCCATCTTCCACCTCCAGGCGCTGGATGGCAATGAAGCAGCCGTGAGCGAAGTCCTCGTTCATCTCTAGCGCCATGGAGAGACCAACGTAGTCGTCTGTCGGCGAGATAGTAGAGTTCATCAGCGAGCGTCGACTGGACACTGCGTCGGCTGTTGCTTCACCCTCCGCCATGATCTCCTCAATCTTCTCCAATGAGCCCTCGGTCCATCGATCCGTCGTACTGAACGTGAAACTGGGCGTCCGGATCTCACCGTAGCCCGACTCCGATAGAGGACTGCAATCGCTGGACATATCGCGGTTAGCATCGCGCAGAGATTGGGCCGTAGCGTTCCACTGCAAGAAGATCAGACAGCACGGAGGAATGGAGCACGGCAGCCACACTGTGAAGATGTAGAACCAGGGGTACGCGATGCCACGAGTAGTGCGCGAAATGATCTGCACGACCCACGAGAGGAGATACACCAACGTGACGATACCGATAAGTGCGTAGTAGAGACGCAAAGCCTTTACTAACACAACCTGGTGAGGGCCCGACGCGTTGCCAAGCAGCAACTTACCACGACGCATGACCATCACACCTAGAGCCATGACAACGAACGTCAGCACGAGGAAAATACCGTACGTGACGGATGTCGAGACCAGGAAGAAGTTGTCGTCATCTTCGGCGTAACAAGCCCACAGATAGCCCTGAATCTCCGAGAAGACCGTGGCGGATGTGTCTGCGTCCTCATTGCACTGTTGGTACGCGAGCGTAGTGACGTCGTTCTCCGAGTCGTACACACGTGCGATCAGAGTCTGGTAATTGAGCAGATAGCCGATCTGGAAGGCGTAAAAGAGCATGTTGAGCGCCACAAAGCCCACTATCGCTGTACGCTTGGGCAGCTTTCGGAGACGCAAGCTCAGCACCGTTCCCCAGTGGAAACACACAGCTGTGAGCATCGTGAACGTGAAGCACAGATACGCGTGCATGATGTAGAAGTAGGTACTGCCACGAGTGAAGAACCAGATGAAGTTGTTGACAAGAGAAGTGGCCAAGGCCAACACGGTGCAAATAGCAGTGATATCGGTCCAAATGGAGCCCAGCGAGAACGACAGGCCGTTCCTTCGGATCGCCACGCTGCAAAATGCTAGCGAACCAACGAGCACGACCATAGTCACGTAGTTGTATGGACTCGCAGTAGCGCCTGTCGTCAGATACACCGAGATCGCCGAGAATGTGCCGTCGATAATCAAGAGATCCTCCGAATTACGGATCTCGATGGCAGTGGCGCCCAGACCTGAAAACGCCACCGACGGATTCTTCACCGTGTCCACGCCAAGTCTCACCCAGCCGATCGAGATCGGTTGTTCCACGATAAGAGTCCACGAATTGTCCGAAGACGAATACGATGCTTGCGTAAAGTTGTTGGGACTGATGCTCTCCGTCTGCGTCGTGGCAGCCGCCAACACGTAAAATTCGTCCTCACTAGGAACGTCCAGTGGATACGTTTCCCAGGACCACACAGCGTCAGCAGTGAAGCCCCACTTGTCGCCGAATGTCAATTTGATCGAACTGTTCTCCGGAATGTTGGCATCCGTGTAGAAAGTGAGCGTGGCGTTGCCTGAGTTGCCTGGATAAATGTTCTCCGGGAGGAACGATCCACTTGACAGTGTCGCGCTGGTCAGGTCCGTAACACGCACGTACGTGTCGAATACGGTGTTTTCCGAGTCGTTAAAGATGAAATACACTGGCGTGAGATTCGACGTGGTCGTGTACGTCACGTTGGACGTGAAACTGGCGCTGTCGTTCATACCCGACGGAGTCACCACACCATCGAATAGAAACACGAACGTATCGTTTGTTTGATAGTTTTCAGTGATGTCCACCGTCAAGTAAGTCCTGTTCCCTTCCAAAAAAGTCGACACTTCACACGTCGTGCTTTCACGTTGGGCGTTAGGCGTCGAGTTCGCCACTCGTTCCAAGTAACACGAGCAGTCTTCTGTAAAGTTGTATCCAGGAGGGCTAGCCAGCATGATCTGGTGTACCGTATAGACCTCTCCGCCCATGCCGTCGGGGTAAAATACATCCAAAAAGTCCGTGGGTGTCACAGTGACTCCGAACGTGCCATTTGTCTGTCCTGGGTAATTATTCTCCACGCCACGCCATACATTCGAGTCCAACACGAGTCCGTTGCAGCATTCGTCTGTACATGTCCAGTCGTAGCCTTCCGTGTAGTACCAGAGGTCCTGTCCGTTGCAGAAAGCCTGTTTGTTGGTGTCGTTCTGACACGTCGGGAAAGCCACGCACGGGTACCAGGCCTGATGATTCTGGGCTTTACGTCCGCTATAATCGCAGCATGGCAGGCCACTGCACTCGCCGTGGACCGTCCCGAAGAGGTCTCGCGGCTGCTGTTCATTACAACAGACCAGGGACAAGTCCGGGTCGCCTCCTGCCAAAATCGCGCTCGCTGCGGACGCTGAGGACGTGGACGTCACGCAACAGGCTGAACAGTCGTCCGCCTCGGTCGTGTCCGCCGTTACGGAGCCTGAAGTCGCCGCCGACGCGCTCTGAGCCTGTATCCTGTTGACCAGCAGTGCCGCTAGCGCCGCCAGCAGCAGCTGCGGTCTTCGTCTCCGCATCTGCAGAGAGCTAGAGGGGAGCTATATACACGTCTAAAATGGGGTCTCGAGGACTTATCCGGCGCTGGCCGGCGCTCCGCTCGCTCGCTCACTCGCCTGCTTGTAATAGGCTGATGGCGGCGGCGCGGAGGAAGTGATGACCTTCGTCTGTCGTTGGGCAGCTCCTCTGCGTGTCGAATTTCGGGAAAAACGGCTGCTTACTGGCGCTCAGTATGGTGGACAACCCTAAATTTAGACGTGTCCCGTCGTAACGCGATAGTCATAGACGGGTCGGCTTTACACTATCAAAGTGCACTCCCAGTCTATTGAGTAGTGTATAAAATGTCCTATCCCTTAATTCCAGCTTAACTTTGTTACGCTAGAAGCTGATTGAATATTGTTTTTACAGTTAATGGATTATGAAGTGTTTTGACGTGCGGATCCTATTCAGATAGTCAGACAGCGAGCGAATTATGGCCAATCGTTGGCCCAGAATAAGTCCAAAGAGTCGGTTGCCGCGGTGTTGCTTTGTAACGGCATCTCAGGGAGGCACTGCACTGCGATCCCAGTCTACTTTATGGGCGGCAACGAGCTACATGTAGCAGCTTGGCCGCATTGTCCAGCCATGGCTGGTAGGACACTGAGAGAAGAGAGTAAAGGGAAATGTGGTATTGTACTGCTCTCGTTGAGATCGCTGCAGGAGCCACACTACCCAGTAGGTTGTAATGATATCGTGGTGTGGTTTTGTTTTTTTCGACTCCAGTTTGGTCTGTCGAACTGCAAAACGGCAGTCGGGTTGCGCAATGCGTGTTCTGTTGGATCAGAAAGTAAGGAGTACTAGCATGATGTTAGCCAAGTACTACAACGGGCAGTGTCATGACCATAGTTCGTGAAACCGAAAGTTCAGGCGGGTTCGTCTCAACTCACGTTGTCCCCCCGTGACTGCAGGTGGAAGTTGCCGTGGCGCTGAGGCGCTTGCCCTGTCATATGGATATGGCATCGAAGTCGTAAATATAAACATGATTTGGGTAACGACTCTGAAGAATGCGACGAGCGTGAAGGTATGCAGTTTTAGCTATCGATGTGACTGAAATACATCATGTCGGTGTAGACTACATCCACACATAAGGTGTAGAAGGTGTAGAGTTGATGATATCGTATAAGTCATCCTTTATGTGAAAATGCTCACTTCTGGATGACTTTTGTAGCCCTGCAAACTGACTTGGAAAAGCGCTTCAGCTGCTAATTCGTTTTCGAGTAGATTTGTACTGGGATCGTCGTGTATTCACGAGTATTATTAATATATCGTGTGTGGCGCTCAGGCAAACCGTGTAGCCTTACATATACGTCGATCAAAGATTACTGCAACTGTAGTAGTAGTAGTAGTAGTAGTAGTAGTAGTAGTAGTAGTAGTAGTATTTACTGTTACTGCAGAAGCTACAAAAAAAAATACTTAAGTAATAGTGTAGCTTGGATTATCATTTTACTTCAATCGCGATTATCACGAGATAGATTGTATGGACGCGATTGCGACCAAATTATTATGTGTATTATTTATCATTTGTGTTTCTGTGTATTGAAGACGAAGTCGTTCAAAAGCGAAAGTTTTACCTCTGCTACATTCTGAATGTTGTACGGTCGAACTTGTACCGCCACCAGCAAAACACCTGGAACAAGAATGATCAACGGCAAGTTATGTTTCTTCGAGGAATACTGACCGTGCCCAATATCCAATCGATGGTTATCGGTTCCCGTCCGCTTATTGCAGAGAGAAGTACTCAGTTAGCCTTATCCGAGGTCGCGACCGTGTACATTTCATCATCAGACTGTGGACCCAGCGAAATCGAACGGTCCATCATGGTGCATCGATACCATCAATGAAGCGACGATCGGACTGCAAGACAGATTAATCGCCATCTCTCTTAGGCGAAGCGCATTGCATACAAAAGACAGGGGAGTGCTGGTTCTGTTCAATGTTGAGAATCTCCGTCAGCCACCCCGAGAGACATACCAGTCCAGGAAGTGCAACCAGCAGCACTGGGTCAATCAGATCAACGGTGTGGCTTGTGTCATTTCAGACATCTTTGCATTTAACTTAAGGGCGTCTAGTTATAAAACTACGGGTAGTCTGACTCTCATAAAAATCAAATGAGACTATTTGCTTACACGTTACATTCTCTTACATTGATCTTTCGCTGGAGCGATTCCTGTAGCGTTTTCACCTTACAGACCGAGTTGGAAAGCCAAGATATCGTTCAGGCGGGCATAAATTCATATGGTTTCTTTGCTTTGATATGAATTTCAGAGAATTAACATCGAATACATTTCCATGTCTACTGGAGCATCTTCACGTCACGCAGTTGCAGTTGCAGATGCAGTGGTGGAGTACGTTGACCCCTGCAATCAATATGTATTAATCGTTTCAACAACAACAAAATGCAGTAGCAATGGCGTTGGCTGCACATCGTGCTTACGGGGTATGTTTGATTATGAAGATCGCTTGGCTTGAAGCCACAACAGCAAGTAGCTTAGGTCTTGGTCTAGGTATTGATAAGAGGGGGGGGGGGCGGAAATTACTGTAGGCATTTATCCTCTGAAGTCTAGGGTCTTGTTCGCCATCATGTGATGACGTGCGCTGAAATCGCACATGCCGCAGATGAATCGCACAGCAAACGTATTATAATGCAGAAGCAGGGGTTGGTAGTCTTTTTTGAAATAGAAAACTTGAGTTATACTACTACTACTATTATTCAATTGTAGTCATATTATGTAGTATTCACAATTGGTAGTAATAGCACTGTCTCGCCGTGGTACGATAGTACTATTCAACTACTATTTCAAGGCACCTTAACGAGCAAGGTAAGCTCTTATTTCGCAATTATTGATCGTTCCGTCCAAATTTGCCGACTTGGGTCTGTTTGAGGAGCGGGAGGACAATCGCCCACTTACAAACCCAAGTCATTAGTAGAACCCACCAAGTCTTTTCTTGCCACCTTATTTCGTACTTAAACGGATCAGTATAAGGAATTGGGCGATTTGGGGGAGATTCATTCAAAGAACCGTCCTGTCCAATTTTGAGTAGAATCCACAATATCAACCCCTGTGCAGAAGGCTACAGTATCTCTGTTCTTGATTCTAATCCTACTGAATATTTAATATAGAAGGTGCGCAGCATACACAATAGAGAATAACTATATCAAAAAATCAAATCTTATACGGTAATATGGGTGCGCATACTGAGAGGGATTCTGCACTATTCAAACTAGTGTACAGTAAAACGAATTGCTTGCTGATACAACACTTAAAGCAGATGCTCTAGCTTTCTGAGTTTCGTATTCACATTGTGAACACGAAATTGCTACTAGTACTCTCTTAGTACCATGCTGTAGACCGAGTGGAGAAAGTAGCATGTACATGTGGCATCAGTGACGAGTACCTTTCCAACATTTCATGTTCTGTAAATGCAAACGATTTGCGGATTGCTTGTCCATGTACCGTACATATTAACAAAGATTAACTTTTCATCAACTAAAGCTGACGTCATGGTACAGCCCTGCAATCCGTTTTCGCGGGGTTGTGTCATATAGGATTTGCAAGCACATCAGGTTTCAGGATGATTCAGCATAGAAACAAGAGCATGTTGGACAAATGAGAATGATATCCGTAAGTTTATCAAATGTACGACGGCGAAAAAACAGATGCAGTACTGTACTGTACTTAGAAAGTAAATGACGGCACAAAGGTGGCAGGGTTGTTTACGGCACGACTAATCGGCTGCGTGCAATTATTTACGTAGTACTAGTAAGTAAGATACATGTACTTCGAAGTATAATTCTTGGTACTCTAATCAATTGAAACTGCTTATTAATAGATGGCCAAATATCTTTCATCACCTCGGCATTCGTATTCGTCGGTGGATCCCGTACTAATATGTACAACTTGTCACCACGGCCGAGTACGCTGTCAATTTATTCATAAACACCATTACATCGCCGTCCGTAAGCACCTTGGCGCTATCATGCAGGTTAAAAAAAAAGCGAAAGCAGGTTTTTCAATGCTTACAAAAACAAGTAGTAAGCGTGTTTCACTTTTTTTCTTTAAAAAGAGTTAGGATAGATCAACACGCAATTCAAGGAGATGCTTCATCAGCAGATCCCAACGCTTCCCACATATACGGTGCGTAGTTCAGTCCTGGTTGCATCCGATGTGATCGTTGCTATTAACCAAACGAGATTCGGAGATCATTCTGCTATTTGACGGCCAGAGCACACCACGATCTGTGCCTTCAGCCATGGCCTCAGTGAGTAAGGGACTCGGTCGCCTATCCCGATTATCCCAGCTATCAGCAGTCTCCATTACTCGTGACAAGAGCCGAAAAACCAACCTCGAATCTCCAGTGCATATGCTGTTGTCCAGTCCTACCAGCAACATGTCGTCGGACGTACGAAAGCAAAACTCGAAGAAACTGGCTCACCTTACGAATGCTATCATGTACGGCATTATCAACTCGATCTTAGCCATCCCAGCCATATATGGTTACACCGTCATCATCTTCAGTCACCGCGATTTCCAAGATTTCATGCCAGCACTTTCCAAGCTCGTCGTCTACTCCAGCGTCGTTCACCAAATCATGTTCACGCTCATGAGCTCGATGCCGTTCTCCATCGGACAAGTACAGGATGGTGGACTTATCTTCCTCAGCACCATGGCTACTTCCATTTGCAACTCCTTGGGTGACAACGTTCCACTTGAGGCCAAAGTGACAACATCCGTCGTCACTATCGGTATCGCCACAGCTCTATTCGGTATCTGTCTTGTCGTCATGGGGAAGATGAAGCTGGCCGAGCTTGCATCGTATCTGCCGATACCCGTCATCGGAGGCTACTTGGCTTTTATCGGCATATTTTGTCTCTATGCCGGACTCGCACTCTGTACGGGTTTAATCGTCAACAACATCGAGTCCATGATCAATGTATTCGATAACCCACACGATATCCTGCTGTGCGTTCCGGGTGTGCTTGGTGGTGCCTTCCTCCTCGTTGTGTCCCAGCGCTACGACAACTCATTTATTCTATCTGCGGCGATCATGATCATGCCCGTAGTTTTTTTCTTTATCCTGTTGGTTGGCGGAATCTCAATGGACGACGCACGCGATGGAGGGTGGATCGACCCCGCCACGGAGCCCGCCACAGTCACGGATTTGATCAACCTTTTCGATTTCTCTCAAATGCATTGGAACGAATTACCGAAACAGTTTGGAACTTGGGTCGGCATGGTGTTCATCGTGGCATTCGGGTCTTGTCTGGATATTGCAGCTATCGAGCTCGACATGGATAGAAAACTAGACTTCAATCAGGAGCTCAACACGGTTGGCTGGTCCAATGTGGTGAGTGGTCTGCTAGGTGGGTGCACGGGCTCCTACATCTTTTCGCAGACTATATTCACGTACCGCTCGAAGACCAACTCACGTATCGTTGGTGTGTGCGTGATCATCGCGGAGACTGCTATCGTGGTGGCGCCAGTGTCCGTCATGAGCTACGTGCCAAGATTTTTCTTTGCGGCGACACTTATCTTCATCGCCATTGACCTCCTGATTGAATGGCTCGTGTTGGCACGCAAGCAGATGTCGTTGCGCGAATATGCAGTATTGTGGGTGACCTTCATTTCCGTGAACCTTGTGTCACTCGAAATGGGCATAGCTATTGGTGTAGGCATTGCGATTTTGAATTTCTTGTTTGGCTTCATTCGTCTACCTGCTGTGGATCGGAAAACTCGCTCTTCTGACGCGGAACGTACCCTCAC